CCTCATATTTACACTCTCACTAAATTCTGTTTTTATTTCCGGAGTTGTTTTTTCTGTTTTCTTTTTGAATTTGTAGGTCTGATGAATTGGATCGTATTTACAATTCCAATGGAATAAATTATGACCATGGAATATTAGTGTTTAAGCCTTTTTATTATATCCTTACTCTGTCCTGGACATTGAGTTCTACCTGGATTCTATCCTCTTGGGATTTTTATTAAAAAAATATACATGTATGTGTATGCACCTATGTATATATATTTATATATTTTGCATATGTATGTGTATATTTACCACTAATATTATCTATATATATATATATATATATATATATATATATATATATATATATATATATATATATATATATATAAACAAATGATAATATATGTATTAATGAAACAAACGTATTCATAGACAATTGAAGATTGTTGCATGTGGCAAAACAATTAATGTGAATGAAGAAAACATTTAAACTAGTAAATTGTTTGTGTGTGTGTAGTTTGGTGTACTAGAAAGTCTTAGAGAAAATGAAATTACCAGCAATACATTTTTTTATAAAAACTTACTAAAAATACATTTTTATAGTGAAATTACCTGCAATGCATTTTATGATCTACAAAGTATATATTGAAAAAACATAACTTTTACTTTGAAAGTATTAAATTATGTACTAAAACAGTGTTTATATTTCAGAATGAAATAACATATAGAGGTTGATATGCCGCTAAACAAAATCAACCAACCAACAATACATATTTATAGTAAAATGACCAACGATATATTTTATCCATAGTTGAAGGCATATAATTGCGTTCAAAATATTTAGATTTCAGCATTAAATAACCCTTAGGGGTTAACATGCTGCTAAACAAAATCAACCAACCAACAATATTTTAGTTGTTGCTGCTGTTAAAAGTGATGTGGTTCTTTGTGATTCTGTAATATCAGTCAAACAGGTTACAATTAATATGGTTCTCAGTGAAACCAATTTAAGAACATGACTTGAGCTTTTAGGTTTTGGTTTTGTAACAACTTGCAGTGTTGTGTGTAAATACCCCAAGTGCAGCCTATTCCATATTAAATTTTATCTCATACACTAAATTTGTTTTAACTAATTCATAGACCAAGGTATTTGAATTTACTAATTGCACATTTTGAATTTTTATGATGGATTCAGGGTAGGTGTCAATGATGGTTGTTTGCATGTTTGATATAGTCTTGGTGAGAAATATCTTCCAGGGTGTATTTAATCATAACAGACAGACATAGACATTAGTTGTAGAGTGTTATTACAATACTCACTCATTTTGGTGTTTGTAGAGGAAACAATGAAGAGTGCCATGTATATTCAGAACATTGCTGAACTTATTCTGCTGCCATTCCTGCAACAAGAAGGCAATATGCTCTTCCAGCAGGATAGTACCCACCCACATGATGCCCAAGCTACTCAACATGCTTTGCAAGATATTTGACAGTTTTCTTGATCTGCATGACTGCCAGACTTGTCCCCCAATAAACATGTATTGGATATGATGGGATGATACCAGACTAACTCAGTTGGCCCACCTACAGTTCCTACTGTATTGTGTCAATAGTTACATATGTTATAGCAGAGTTGTTGTTGACGTCTGTATGATTGAATGCAGGCAAGAGTATAGGTTTGCCTTAATACCCAAGGAGGATATAAATAAAACGAAAAATATATAATAATGTAAAAAAAAACACCATTAAATTATTGTTCAGGAACAAACTACATAGTAACCACAAATTAAATGAAAAAATTATAAGAATCCTAATACATACATAATACATAATAATACATCAGCTATATATATATATATATATATATATATATATATATATATATATATATATATATATATATATATCAGTTAATGACAAAAAACAAATAAATTAAACTCATCATTAACTGCAAAATCTAAAAACCTCTAAAATGAACCTCACCAATGTTTTACCAAAAAATCTGAATTTGCTTGTACACTTGGAGAATATTTCTCTAATAATAATGAATATTCAAGCAACATATAAATAGGTTATATGCCCACTACATTATCATGCAGTTTAATGTGCCATTTATTTGATAATATAAATCATATCATTAAATAACACAACAATAAAACACAAATACTTACCAATAACAAAAAATACTATATTACTTATAAATACTAAAAGCACTTATTATTTAAGTATCACAAAGTTCAAGTTAGCAGTGCATAATTGTTCCACCTGCTTTTAAAGCACCTGCCTCCCATTTGTGAGAGAAGAGAGATCTTTGTTTCTGCCTATAACATAATAAATTTTAGGGGCCTTTTCACTTCAACCAACTTTTCAGTTATATAGCACTCTTAATAATTTGATAACATCATCTTCATCCTCTCTGACAGGGATGATATGTACTAACCCTGAACCACCCACCCGGGTGGGGATGGGTTGCAAGTCTGATTAGTAGCTGCTAGGTTTACTTTGCCAGATTTATCTCTTATATTAAAGCAGTTATAACTGATTTACACACTGAGATATTTGAAGTGTTTAGTAGTTACTAATTCCACATCCTGAATTTTTATAATGGATTCGAAGTATGCACCATTATTGTTTTCATTCCAATTCCAGATCATAATTTCTGTTTGGAAACATTTTTCTTGAGTGGTATTTCTGGGACTTGGTAAAGAATCATTCTTATCACAACTATGAATACCTATCATTCGCACATCACCCCTCATCGTTAGTGTACCTGCTTCAGGAGGGAAACAGGAATGCATTTTTTATTACTAGATTCATTTGGGATGTGGTATGGAATGCTTAAAGGATCAGTGCTCATCTGTTGACATTTGTGCTTGAGTTCATTACAAGTTATTTTTTGAGATACAGGATTATTGAATATTTACTTTTATTGCTTGTAGGTAGTTGAAATATTAGTTCCAAGAAACCAGGATTGAGACTAATATTGAATAAAATAAACATATCAGGATTTAAAAATGTCTGTCTGCTTAAATGAAAAATAACACCAACATTATTATTATTATAATTTTATTTTTTTTATTTTTTTTCCATCTTATTATAATAGATTTTATTCCCTCTTCTTATAGATGATTTTGACCACAGCATTCTGGGTTGAGAGATGCTTCAGCCACAAGAGTAAACAATAAAATCAGAAAAAGTTTGAGTGTATCATCTGTGTTGCCCTAACTCACACTAATGGAAGAAGAATGAGATGTAACACACAACAATGAAGATGAGGTGTTGCTAAACTGTGAAGGAGAATTTATTTATGTTTTTACCTTGGGTGAAATCCAAAAATGTTTATATTGAGTTTCTGCCACATACGTAAAAGTTGGTATTGGATTTTAGTTGTAGAGAACACTCACATGAGGAAATTATACACATTTTTTCTTTAATCATTTCACCCCAAGCAAGGCAGGAATATCACTAATACGCAACGGGTTACAGAGAGTGAAGGTGAGAGAAAAGATAGGGGATTGAGGAAAGGATAAAAGATGAACAGGATTCAAGAAGACAGAGATGGCAATTAATGTTGCATTTAAATTTTTGAAGATTGTAGTTATCAGGGAAGCAAGGAAATGGAAGGGAGTTCCACAGGCGGGAAGTGCAAGAAAATAAACTGTTGGAGTAGAAGTGGTAGTTACATTTAACTATTTCAATAGTAAAAGGGTGGGACCTAGATGCCAATCTAGTAGCACACTTAAATTCACATAGTCAGGAAAAAAGCTTGACAGAGCAGTTTTCACAGAGGAAAGCCACATCACGTCAGTGAGAAAGTGACTGAAGTTGAGATGCCAAGTCAGAATTAATTACATTGCAGTTCTTTCTTTATTTTTTTACAATAATTTTCACTCGAGAGGGCTACAACATAAGAGGCACAGTTTATTGTATAGTAGGAGTAGAAGTTTTCACTACATAGAAGCCACAGCTGCTGCTGTTAATATCAGACTGCTGGCACCTCTGTGGCTGTTTTTGATCATTTGTGTTGGACTTAAAGGGGGTAGTTGTCTTTGGCTGGCTGAAATGAGTGATGGGCAGGTAAATGATTGCAGTAGTTCAGATAAGCCTTTTACTGTGGCATCTCTCAAAAGCTATATCTTTCTTTCTTTCTGATATTGCAAGTTTTGTTCTAACAGTCAAAGAGACCTTAACCCACGGTGTTGTGATAAAAAGAAATAAGAAGATAGAGTAAAAATTGTACTCAAATACACAATTTTTTATGAGCAACTGTATTCAGATTTGGCTAAATCTTATGTTACTCCACAACTGTGTGTGACTGAATCAGCTCAAAATAAAAATAAAGATAAAAGGAAAACAAAAATTTTAAAAAAGTGTTTCTAAATACATTATTTTATACTGTAGTCAAGAATTCAAGTAGCAGCAATGTTGCACTATGTTCTAGACTCAGGATTGTCCCATAGGACAATATCCGAATGGCTAAAAGTATTGATTTGTGAATTTTGAGGTATATTAATTGTGAGGTCAATTCATGGGCCAGGTAATGCAGACTAAGACACAGGAGAAAGAGAGTGAGAAATCACTGAGCAGTAATAAGAATGAGATAAGATATCCTGAGACACAGGCAGAATGAGAACAATTTATTTCATAGCTTAAATAAATGATTCCGTCTGAAATTCCTTGCATTGACAAGCACCTGAAGAAGGTCACAGATGAGAGCAACAGTCCGAATTTATGTGTGAATTATTTTCAAAACTATACCCTCTTTTCCACAGATAAAACATCGTAATCCTATCACCATTCCATAGCAAGTGTGCAGATTAGCTACAATCATTAGTTCCACCAGTCAGGATCATTACACCTATGGCATGCTGTGCCACATACAAAGGATCAAACCAACCTCATTACCTTCGTATTCCATTGGTAAGAAGAAAATTACACTCAGACAAATTTTTCCTTAAAATGGCTATTTTATAGAACAGACTCCCAAGAGAATGCTTTTCTGATCACTAGGGCTTATGGTCATATCACGACACACCAGTTTCCATATGATCTCCAAAGTTAAGCAATGTTGAACTTGGTCAGTACCTAGATAGATGACTGCTTGGGAATACCAGGTGCTGTAAGCTTGGATGTGCACATGGCATAATCAATAATGACTCAGAATTGTTATTGAGTCCACTATAAAATAAACATATTTAATAACACTTTTAAATTTTTTTCCCCCTTTTTTTTGTTAATCAGAGCACCACTTTCCAGTTCCTGTTGGGTTTGTTATATTTACTTATATGCAAAAACCCTTGGGAAAGATATGAATCCACCTATTCTACCCCCATCTATGGGTTAATTAGTAAGACTTGTATCACTAAAAATATTATTATCTCAAAAAAAAAAAAATAAAATCACATACAAAATATTTATACATTGGTATTAAATAACCCATAGAGGTTGAAATGATGCTAAACTAAAATAACCACCCTGATAATTACATTATTAACCTCTTCAAGTTTATAGTCAACCATTATCTATCCTACATATCCTTATATTTTACACTTACTCCCTCCTCTCATGTTCCTACAAGAAGCTTAGTAACCCTCCATCTTGAGTAGATTTTGGGATGTGTATTGGAGGAACTTTTAATAATGACAAAAAAAAAAGAATTCTACTAGTTAGAGTAAAATGTATTTCCTTTCTGTTTACTAGACCCAATGTTTTAAGGAACCATTTAGACAACTTTAGTACTAATTCTTGCATAAAGGTTAAGCAGCTTGAATACTAGTCAAAACTCTGAGTTACTTATAAAAAAAAATTGTGTAATATTGTCTGGGCAAATACTTATCCAGTCTTTAGGCTATATAAGAAATTTAAGCTGTTTGAGCATGTATTGTCTGCTTTCGGAGAAAAGACAATGCTCCATTGGGCTCTTGCTTAATTTTTGAATTCCAGAAATATTTTGGTACATTTCAATTTGTGGGAAAACAGCAGTGTTTGTTTTTCATCCAGAACTAATCAAAAGTTTCCCTCAAATTCCAAGAAGTGAATTTGGAGCCTACCTGTAGGTTATAAAAGGGGGCCTTGGATTTAATTCAAGGCATCAATGAACATTTGCTGCTGAAACCGAAGTCACCCCAGTTCATAAAGAAAAAAATGCAGAAGAAATTTGCCAACCACCAGATGAGAATTGAAAGAAACATCAAATTCATTCCCACATCAAAGAAAATTTTTCAGCTGATGTGATTGTTCTAGTCTTCTCTGTTATCATGGACACTGCTTTGAAAATTGTACCCATTTTTTGAAAACTATTCAGAGAAGTATTTTCTCCTTTTTTCAAATTTTATATATTGTTTATTTTTTCTAAGGACCTTATGCAGCATAATAATTTTTATTGTAAAAAAAAAAGGCACATATTTCATTTGCATTGATTATTTTTACATTCATGTTATTGGCCATCATTTGGCACACAATTCACTTAACTTGTGTAATTCTTTCATTTTTGCATATTAACAATAAATTTATCATTTGTTCTTAAATTTGGCTTGTGTAGTTTGTCTTTGTTGTGTGCCAATATAAATTAAATGTTACCGCAAACATTTGTTTGAACTATTTTTTTTTTGTAGTTTATTTTTTTACCAAATAAGAAATTCCTTTAGCTAAGATCAAAGTGTAGTATCTGTTCCTCATCTTCAGGCAGTTTATGGAAAAGCTTTGAGGGATGTCTGGCCCCAGGGATTCCAACCTACTGGGACTTTATTGCACTAAAAATGGTCAAAGGGACTGGGTTAATTTTGTTCTTAGTTCATCTGTAAAATGCCCTTTTGTCACATCCTGCTAGCAGGCTATTAAATACAAGATCTCCTTTACTTCCTCAAAATTCTTCATCAGAAAATTTTAAGAAATAGTCAATACCAAAATTTGATCAAAGTTGTTCAGAGGTTAAAATTGAGGAAACTTTCAATGATCATCACGGTAGTCTTAATTATGGCAGACTGAATAAAAAAATTAGTACACCAAGCTGTTTGTAACTGTTTAGATATAGGAAAAGAAAAGGAAGAAGAAGAAGAATCAGTATTCACAAGAGATCATATGTTGAAATGTAAACAAAACAATGGTTTCCCTTTTAGGGGACATGTGTAAGTAAAACATAATATAAAATTGGTTTTGTTAATTCATTTATTTTAAATTTCTAAGGATACAGTAAACAACAACATTTCTAATAACATCATCTTTATATAATCAATAAGCAGCCATCTTATACTATAAGAATAGGATAAATTCATGAAAATTTTCTATATTTTTTGACCTTGTCTTATCTAAAGGTTGCCTTATATGAGAAAATATACAGTAAATTAAAAACAGAATTATTGACCAAATAATAACCTCAAACACCCCCTGTGTCAGGTAAAATAGAAAAGAAAAAAGTAAAAAATTTAAAGAAAAAAAGAAACAGTAATTTGCAAATGAAAAGAATGACTTTTCAATAAAAATGAAAAATCTTGTTTGTGTTGGTGCTGTTAAGATTTTCTGAATAGAACATTAGTAGCACCTGTGTCATTTTCTGGTGCCATTGAATATAGGCATGCCTATGTCCGAGATTAATGTAGAGAAATTGGTTATTTGAGCCTGCAGATGGAACATGTTATCCATGGCTTAAACTCTGCCACTAGTAAATGATGGCTTATCACGAATGGCATCAGTGAACTGGTTTAAGTCTTTGAAATATTGTGAGAATCTATTGTCACACATTTGTAACAGGAAGACTAGAGGAGGAAAAGAAAATAGTACCATGTATGTAGATGGAAGAATTCAATTGTACTAAATTTAACAGAAGCATGCACCAACTCAGCAAAACTGACTGTAGTCTAACAGAATTAAATAATCTTTTATAAAACAGATTTTCAGATCTCTTTTACCTGGTCTTTCAGTTCCCTTTTGGCCGGAAGTGAAGTGAACTGTTTACCTAATTTTAGATGAGAGAAGGCACCTCATCCTGGGGATTCCAATCCTATAGAAGCACAATGTTTTGCAATAATTTTTAACATCAACTTGAGATTTTTTCTTGTTAAAAAGAACAAATAATTTTAATACATTCAACATTATAGAAAAAATAGTCAATTTTATATAGTTTTTTTGCGACTTAACATGAGCAAAACAAATTCCCAGATTTGGATTAAAAAAAGTATCGATAATGACATCAAACTCTGTGAAAAATATTTCATCCTTTAATAGTCAGTTATGCTTAGTTTAATTTATAATTTATATAAATGTAGGTAAAAAAATCAAATGTTGATAAGATATTGAAGGTCACTAAAACACTGCCCAGGACCCACAATCAAACTTGGGCTTCCTTAGTTTGAGGGTAGTATGTGGAGGATGAAGATGTTATCAAATTATTAAGAGTGCTATATAACTGAAAAGTTGGTTGAAGTGAAAAGGCCCCTAAAATTTATTATGTTATAGGCAGAAACAAAGATCTCTCTTCTCTCACAAATGGGAGGCAGGTGCTTTAAAAGCAGGTGGAACAATTATGCACTGCTAACTTGAACTTTGTGATACTTAAATAATAAGTGCTTTTTAGTATTTATAAGTAAATAGTATTTTTGTTATTGGTAAGTATTTGTGTTTTATTGTTGTGTTATTTAATGATAGAATTTAATTGAGCTATTATCAAATAAATGGCACATTAAACTCCATGATAATGTAGTGGGCATGTAACCTATTTATATGTTGCTTGAATTATTATTATTGTTATTATTATTAGAGAAATATTCTCCAAGTGTACAAGCAAATTCAGATTTTTTAATGATGAGTTTAATTTATTTGTTTTTGTCATTAACTGATATGTATATAAGTATATATATATATATATATAATATATATATATATATATGTATGTATGTATATATATATATATATATATATATATATATATAGCTGATGTATTATTATGTATTATATATGTATTAGGATTCTTATAATTTTTTCATTTAATTTGTGGTTACTATGTAGTTTGTTCCTGAACAATAATTTGATGGTGTTTTTTTTTTTACATTATTATATATTTTTCGTTTTATTTATATCCTCCTTGGGTATTAAGGCAAACCTATACTCTTGCCTGCATTCAATCATACAGACGTCAACAACAACTCTGCTATAACATATGTAACTATTGACACAATACAGCAGGAATTGTAGGTGGGCCAACTGAGTTAGTCTGGTATCATCCCATCATATCCAATACATGTTTATTGGGGGACAAGTCTGGCAGTCATGCAGATCAAGAAAACTGTCAAATATCTTGCAAAGCATGTTGAGTAGCTTGGGCATCATGTGGGTGGGTACTATCCTGCTGGAAGAGCATATTGCCTTCTTGTTGCAGGAATGGCAGCAGAATAAGTTCAGCAATGTTCTGAATATACATGGCACTCTTCACTTTTTCCTCCATAAACACCAAAATGAGTGAGTATTGTAATAACACTCTACAACTAATGTCTATGTCTGTCTGTTATGAGTAAATACACTCTGAAATATATTTCTCTCCAGGTCTATATCAAACATGCAAATAATCATTGGCACCTACCCTGAATCCATTATAAAAATTCAAAATGTGGAATTAGTAAATACTAAACACTTCCAATACCTTGGTCTATGGATCAGTTATAACAAATTTAGTATATGAGATAAGAGAATTTAATATGGAATAAGCTGTTTTTGGGTAGTTATGCCCAACACTGCAAATTACTACAAAAATTATCATAAAAACTAGAATCATGTTCTTAATAGCATCATCAGATTGTGATGTTCATATGAATGTCATGCATGTTACTAAACTCATTCAGATATACCTAAATTGTCTGCTGTATACAACCACTTTCTTCAACCAATGGCTTTGGTCAAGTCAAGCATATAGGTCTCAGTGAGAATCATCCTTTTTTGAACCTCATCAACTGCTAATAATGAATCACAAAGAAATGTATCAGATAACAGAATTATGTTTATTTGAAGACTTTCAACAGCAGCAACAACTAAAATGGATAGTACATGTAACTCAAAGAAAGTAGTACATAGTCAAGATGATAACATTTGACACTACTTCAAACAAAAGGTTAAGAAGTAAGTTCCCATTGATA